TTAATACATTTTTGCTCAAATGTCATTTGACCGCTTTGTAATTTTTTGCAAAAAATAACATTAAGCGAAATAAAAAACTGAAAATTCGTAAAAATTAAAATTCCCAAAATGACTATGCCAGACCAGCTCAACTGTGTTAAAAAAATTTTATTGATTTTCTAAAATGTTAAAACTTTTATGAATACCAAAATTTTTTTGGGGGGGTTTCTTAGAGACTACTGAGTATACTTCCTATGAGTTTCATTGCAACAGGAGCGGTCGAACACATAAATAATTAAAATTGTTTATAAAATTGTTATTAAAAATACGGAATTTTTAAATTTACAATCATGCAAATATTTTCTATTAAAAGAGTGTAAACAATGTTGTGTAAATAGTGTAAGTTTCATTAATTTATTGTAAACGGCTTTTGAGTTATTAATTTTTTTTAAATTTTGTAATATTTTGCTAATGCAAAAAATATAACAAAAATTTAAAATTTCAAAAAACGGTTAAAAGTGTTTTATTGTTTTGTTGTGAACTACAATTTTTCATAAAATTTCAAAATTCACAAAATTACAAATAGCAACAGTAACAAATTCATAAAATTATCAATTCGAGAAATGCAAATTCGCAAAAATAAAATGAGCAAAACAACAATTAGCAGAAATAATGATACACAACAAAGCAGTTTCGCAAAAAATAACAATTAGCAAAAGTATATCTAACAATTTGTAAAACTTTCAATTGCGAAGAATGCAAGTTTGCAAAAATAACAAATTTGCAAAATAACAGTAAACTAAAATAAATATTTGTAAAAATGTAAATTTGCAATAATAATTCTTTGCAAAAATAACAATTGGCGAAAATGACAATTTAATGAATTCCAATTCGCGATTAATCAAACTCTTTAAATTTGAACTTGAAATTCCAAATAGAATGCATCCCCGATTCAAATTAAGCCAAGATGACATTAATCCTTCACTGTGCTATATAAATTTGGAGTTGGAAATTCCAAACTCAAGCTTGTTGATTTTTAATTTGACAGGACAAGTGAAATGTAGTATTCGAGAATCCAAATTGAACCAAGTAGATACTTGAACTTAATTTTTATATTTGGAAATGCAAGCTGATACTTGTAGTACGTGCGAACTTGGAAATACAAGTAGAAATGATAAGATTGGAAATCCATGTTAAAACAAGTCGAAACAAAAATTGAAGAGGACAATCCAAGATAGAACCATTTCAATTTTATCTTGGATATCCGTTTCAGTTACATAAATAGGATTTTCAAGTTAAAACCAGTAGAATTGCTACACGGAAAAGTTTTTCAATTTGGAAAGCAAGTTGACACCAGTAGATCCATGTTCAATTTCTACTGGTCTCAACTGGTTCTTTAATATAGGGATGCACAAAACGTCGAATCGTCATTTAGTCGAATGGTAAAACCATCGAATAGTCCATTCGTCGAATGCTCAAATAGTCGAAACGCCATCTGTTCGAATTATCAAGTAGTAGAATGGTAAAGTTGTCGAATGTTCAAAACATCGAATCGTCATTTAGTCGAATGCTAAAAACATCGAATCTTCATTTAATCGAATGCTAAAAACATCGAATTCTCAATTCGTCGAATGTTCAAAACGTCGAATTATCAATTCATCGAATGTTAAAAACATCGAATCGTCAACATGTCGAATGTTCAAAACGTCGAATATTATCAATTTGTCGAATGCTCAAAAAATCGAATTGTCAATACGTCGAATGTTCAAAACGTCGAATGCTAAAAACATCGAATTCTCAAATCGTCGAATGCTCAGAACATAGAATAGTCAGTTCGTCGATTGCTCAAATAGTCGAAACGCCATCTGTTCGAAATGTCAAGTAGTAGAATGGTAAAGTAGTCGAAACGCCATCTGTTCGAATTGCCAAGTAGTAGAATGGTAAAGTAGTCGAATGTTCAAAACGTCGAATGATAAAAACGTCCAATGCCCAGAACATCGAACTGTCAATTCGTCGAATGCTCAAAACGTCGAATGATAAAAACGTCGTTTGCTAAAAAAATCGAATCGTCAAAAGTTCGAAAAAGTTCTTTGTTTTAAGTTAATGTCTACTAAAAAGAAAGAACTTTTTTGAACTTTTGACGATTCGATGTTTTTAGCATTCGAAGTTTTTATCATTCGACGTTTTGAGCATTCGACGTTTTTGTCATTCGACGTTTTGATGTTTATTTTTGAAAATATTTAAAAATAGAAGAAATAGAAAATTTCCATGTGGATTTCCATGTGAATTATTTCAAATCTCCGCATGGATTTCGGCGTAAATTTCCATGTGGAAAATCCAGACGGACTTTTTCAGTTGAGAATTATTTCTTATATACTATAAATAACAAATGTAATTAAGTTTTTTTATTTATTAATTGTATTAACTATTTTTCAAATCTGATAGAGTACAAAATTATTTATAATTTTTTTATGAAATATACAATTTATGTATTTGATACATAAATTTTTGTTTACATCAAAATTGAGATCATATTGAATGTTCTCTACGATATTCAAAGATTCTAAAGTTTTACATTTTGATTCATTTTTCTTAAAGTAAAGCACCAGAAAAAAAACAATAAGCTTTTAGGTTAAATGTCAATCCCTATACGTCTGGATCACTCGCGCTTTAAATTCTCTGCCGATAATGCAGAACAGCTAACAGCTTTTGCTCCCGCTGTAACAGAGGGCGAGCTTGTGCATCGACCAATGCACAAATCTTCGACTTTTTGCTGCGAAATCGAAGCAGGAAATACGAACTTTCGACCGAGGTATGAAGAAAAACACTTTCATTGATGGTGTATTCCACTTCAGTTCAACACAAAAAATTTTATTAGGTTTTGCGATTCGGTTGAAATTGGGTAGATTATATCCTCTGGTGGTAATAAATAAAATCCCCAAGCGATTTTAAAAAATTTCAAAAATTGGCGGACATATTGGATTTTTAATTTTTTTGTACTTTTTTTTGAAAAATATATATCTCTGCTTCTTCTTAACGGATTTTAGTTTATAACCTCTTAAATTGTTCGTATTGAAATATGCTTTTATTTAAAAAATTAAAAAAATTATTTAAATTTTTTGTTTAAAAAATTAATTTAATTTTTTGAAAAGCCATAGAAAAAATATGCTACCTTCAATTTTGATCATTTTTTTACCATTTGTAGCCATAAATGTGTTGAACTTGTCCTGAAATTTTCATCGTGGGACAGCCAGTAGTTTTTGAGAAAAAAAATAAAACGTAAATCCTCGCATAGCGCTGTAGCGCTCAGTTTTAATGCCGCACGATTGTAAATGGAATTTTAATGAAAGTACGAGTTTTTATTAACCCTAGAACTAAAATATGATTTTTTTATAGACTAACGAAAAACTGGGGTGGTTTGGTACCCCAGATTTGAAACAATTGTAAAAGGTTACCTTTTTTGTAATTTTTTTTAATTTGTCAACAATGTGGCTAATTTGAAAAAATTAAACGGATTTTAAAAGGTAAATAGAGACAATTTTATTTTGATTAAGGCAACTTGAAAATTTAAATATTATTTACAATATATACAAATGTTAAATGATTTTAAAATAGAATAAAAATCATTTATTACAAAGGAGGTTTCTATTTTTTACGGGGGAGTTTCCGAGGTCTTACAGTTTTTTTTATTTACCTTTTAAAATCCGTTTAATTTTTTCAAATTAGCCACATTGTTGACAAATTAAAAAAATTACAAAAAAGGTAACCTTTTACAATTGTTTCAAATCTGGGGTACCAAACCACCCCAGTTTTTCGTTAGTCTATAAAAAAATCATATTTTAGTTCTAGGGTTAATAAAAACTCGTACTTTCATTAAAATTCCATTTACAATCGTGCGGCATTAAAACTGAGCGCTACAGCGCTATGCGAGGATTTACGTTTTATTTTTTTTTCTCAAAAACTACTGGCTGTCCCACGATGAAAATTTCAGGACAAGTTCAACACATTTATGGCTACAAATGGTAAAAAAATGATGAAAATTGAAGGTAGCATATTTTTTCTATGGCTTTTCAAACAATTAAATTAATTTTTTAAACAAAAAATTTAAATAATTTTTTTAATTTTAATTTTTTAAATAAAATCATATTTCAATACGAACAATTTAAGAGGTCATAATCTAAAATCCGTTAAGAAGAAGCAGAGATATATATTTTTCAAAAAAAAGTACAAAAAAATTAAAAATCCAATATGTCCGCCAATTTTTGAAATTTTTTAAAATCGCTTGGGGATTTTATTTATTACCACCAGAGGATATAATCTACCCAATTTCAACCGAATCCCAAAACCTAATAAAATTTTTTGTGTTGAACTGTCGTGGAATACACCATTTTTCTGTCTTTATAATTTTAATTTTTATGTTTGAGATGTATAAAATCTGTATGTGAAGGAAGTAATCCACAAATTGACTGAAATGCCTGATGAGGTCCATCGTGTATGGATGAAAAGCTTCGCTTTTTAAATTAATAAAAAAATGTGGATTATTGAACAACAACATTAAACAGCTTTATATTATTTTTATAATTGTTAATTTTATATAAAACAGTAAATAATAAGTTAACTGCATGCGAATTGTTGCTAGTTTGATAAAATTTAATAATTTCAGAATAATTATTTTATTAATTTTTAACTCTTTTTTACTGATGTTTAATATTTTGGTTTTCGTTTGATAATATAATTTACTGAATTTTTAAAAATTTTAATTACTTTTTATTAAATATTGCTGTAACTTATGATATATTCAAAATAGAGTAACTATATAATTCAAAATTCTTGTTGTTAACATAATTAATTAAACTTGAATAAAACACATTTTCAGCTTTGCTTATTTCATAAATAGCTTTTCGATCGCAGCGCCGAATCATTTATGCTATCTAAAGAAATCTCATTTATTCAATTCATGCGTCATTCCCACCACTGGAGTTTACAAAGCATTTATATTACATTAAAAACTTATATTTGAAGTTAGCAATAGTACACATATTGACGGGAGACAACCATCGTTTGCAAAGATGGCGAATCCGGGTTGTTCCGCATTTTCTAATGACGGTCAATATTTAGCAAATTGCGGTATTGATGGAAAATTAAAAATTTGGGAAACCGCAACAAATCGTCTTAAAGTAGACTACGTCCCTAATTATCATTTAAAATCTCCTTGCAGTGTAATAAAATGGATAACTGTAAGCCTACAATCGACCAACACAACGGTAACCATGTGCTTTATATTTTTCTCTTAAACTCTATTTTGCCTGATAGTTCTTTATTACTATGATAAATATCTATATTCGTGAAATTTTAAAGCAGCAATTTTTTATTCATTGTTTATTTTAACACGTACTATTAATTTTTTACACATATATTCCCATTATTGTGAACCAAGTGAAAAGTGAGGTTAAGTAACTAGTGCGTTGTAGAAATTTTTTTTTTAAATCAAATAAAATTTCGGAGTGTCTATTTGGCCCGTCAGCGGGCCAAATAAACTACTTTTTTTATTTGGCCCGTCTTGAAATGTACACTGTAAAAAATTTTTCTGTAGATTTACAGTTTTGTTCAGAATTTTACAGAAACTTGTAAAATAACGTCTTTAAAAGTAGTGAATTTAAAATCCCTTCTGTAAAATTAATACTTTTAATGTGTCAATTTTACAATTTTCTGTAAATTTACTACTTTAAAAGTAGGTAATAAAAAGACAAAAATATTACCTAGTTTCAGAGTAGTAAATTTACAGAATATTGTAAAATTGACACATTAAAAGTATTAATTTTACAGAAGGGATTTTAAATTCACTACTTTTAAAGACGTTATTTTACAAGTTTCTGTAAAATTCTGAACAAAACTGTAAATCTACAGAAAAATTTTTTTACAGTGTACATTTCAAGACGGGACAAATAAAAAAAGTAGTATATTTGGCCCGTCAGATAACAAATTAGCTGTAATTAATAATAATAGATTATTATTATTACTATTATTACAAATAGATTAATTTAATCACCAGGTACTATTTTTTACATGAATTTGACAGGTAATGTAATAAAAAAATTCTTCTTAAAAATTTTAATAAAATTCTTTGAAACGATTGAATTATTTTTAAAAAACTTAAACGAATTTTTCACAAAAAAATAAATTATTTTGGCAAATAATAAAATTCTCTAAAACTCAATTAGTTTAAAAATCTATTTCAATACAATTTCACGAAAGAATTTAATATTATTTATAAACAAAATTTTGATAAAATTCTACGTGAGAATTCAATTATTTTCATAAATAAATAAATTTTTCGCAAGAGTTCAATTATTTTTATAAATAAAAAAATTATTTTCAGAAATTCAGTTATTTTAAAAAATTTAAATAAAATCCTTCTGAAACATTTAATTATTTTTATAAATATTAAAATTTTCACAGCAATTATAACTTTAAAAAAAATTTTTTAAAGTCCTTTGGAAGAATTCATAAACAAAATTTTAAGAAATAATTAAATTTAAAAAAATCGCACAAATCCAAGACTTTCTCATTGTTTTATGAGAATGTAAAAATTGTATTCTTCGTAAATTTTCATTATTGTAAAAATAATATTTTAATTTTTTTATTTTTAATAAAAAGTTAAATTTTAGAATAATTACAGTTAAAGTGAGAAAAAGTGAAATTATTGAAAAAGTAAATAAGTATTTAAATATTTATTTAACTATGAATAAAAATTAGCCTTTTCAAAAAAAGCAATTGAAAATTTTTTTAGTTAAATTTCCGTAAATAATTTTAAAAAATGAAATTAACTTTCCAATTAAGTGGAAATTTATACAAAGTTTATAATTCGCATCTTTACTTTGAGGTTAAAATATACATATACCTGTCAAATTCATGTAAAAAATAGTACCTGGTGATTAAATTAATATATTTGTAAAAATAGTAATAATAGTAATCTATTGTTATTAATTACAGCTAATTTGTTATCTGACGGGCCAATTAAACTACTTTTTTTTATTTGGCCCGTCTTGAAATATATGGAAGTGGGGTGACGGGCCAAATAATAAAAGTAACTTATTTGGCCCGCTGACGGGCCAAATAGACACTCCGATAAAATTTTCATTTTTTAAAATGTGTATTACTTACTTTTTACATATTTGTTTATATAATTTTTTTTTATGTTCGCGTAAACGTTAAAATTATAAAATATTTTGGAATTGTCTTTGTTTATTACCTACCTAATATGTATTTCAAAATGCATTTTATTTACTTAGGTACTACAGTAAATTCGAGATTAAATTGCTTTCTGAAAGTAATTTCAGTTTCTCTTAATATATTCCTTTATAAATATACTGTAAAATCATAGGCAAGAATATTCATACCAACTGTAATGTGAACTAACATTTTAAAGTTTCTATTCAAAGAAGAAAAAATAACTGGAAGTATTGACCTTTAGTTTTTCTTTATTATTTACCAAGTTTTTAAAAAATTTATTAAATTTCGATATCGTTATGTAAAATAGAACTACATATAATCATAGTAAAAATTATTTTTTTGGAAATTTTCTAAATATAATTAAATTTTTTTATTGAACAGTCACCATGGAAGAAGCGAAAGAGAAAATCAATGGACGAGGAGGTAAATCAAAAGGAAGTTATTGCCATGGGATCAACTAGCGGCCATGTAACAATATTTGACGTAGCATCATCAACAGTCAGCAATCAATTGCAAAATGGACATACAACGTCAATTTCAGCGATTGCTTGGAAAACGTCAACGGGCCTTTTTACAGCTGCGGAGGATCATCAAATTATCCATTGGAATATCCAGGAAAATGGAATCAAATGTAAATGGAAATCGGGTAAAGGAAAAGTAACAGCAATTGCAGTTGTTCCTGATGGAAATTCTCTCCTCACCGCCGAGAGAATAATCACATGGTGGGATCTTAAGACAAAAAATATAATAGGAACTTTCACTGGTCATATTAATCAAGTTAATTCATTGAACATTGTAAAAATAGATGACGATACTAATTATCTTATTAGTAGTGCCACTGGAGATTCCTATCTCAGTGTTTGGTCACTAAATGAAGTAAGTTTTCCGCTCACGTATAATTCAACTTTCATGGAAAAATATATGAAACGATAATTTTAATCTTTTCATCAAAGTACTTTGTATGTTATAAAATTATTACATATATTTTTTGAAATTCTAACAAAATTAAAAAAGAAAAGCTTATAATTATTATGTAATAAGGAGAATAAAGAAATAAAAAATTTATTGCAGGCGAAAAAGGGGAAAACGTCAGCAGCAACGTTTACGATGCAAGATGAAGCGATGTCAGTTTCAGTGAGATTAATGGAAGACTCTCAGGTGATGGTCCTTGCGGCAACGAGAAGCGGTCAAGCTCATTTATATAAATACCAACCGAATGGAACGACACCAAAACCGATTAAACCCTCGTTAAACATTTTCTTTACTTCTGATACGAGTCAAAAAGAGCAGAACATGCAACAAATTCCGATTTTAAAAGGGCAATTGACAGAAGATACGAAATGTATTTTGGCGTACGGTTCATTCATAAATATCAATTTCGAAAAAGTAGTGCCCGATTTCTCCGAGAAGGTCATGTACTTGGAGAGGACCGACTACAAAAAACAAAAAGAGAAGAAGGACGAGGCTGTTTCTAAAGTAAAAGCTACGGACACTGAAGGCGAAGTGCAATATCTTGTGCCAGGTATTAATGACCAAAAAAATTAATATAGTTACATATTTAATAATTAAAACTAATTTCATATATATATATGGGTGATTCTCCCGAAATACTCCTTTTTGTGAGTTACAAACAGAAAAGAAAAAAAATTATTATTTATGGATTAATGCAGTCAATTATATTGAGCTTTCAAAAATCTACCACCTCTATAGCATGATCATGCTAACTTTTAGCTTTTAAAGTATATATTTTAAATTAAAATTTACAAAAAAATTAAGAGGTTAAAATTTGGCGCCGGCGTTTTTTATTATATATATTTTTCTATTTACAAAAAATTATTTAAAAATTATAATTTATTAATTTATTATCTATAAATTTTATAGATTTTGAAATACTTACAGTTATCAAAAATCTCTTTAAACAATTGTCAAAAATTATTTTTCATACATTTTAGGTTCACTTTTCACTGGCAGTTTGTAAACAACCGACAATCATATCAATTTTTAATTTTTATTCAAAAAAGTGAGAGGAATGACGGGTGAGAGGAATGACGATTTCAACATTTTTTAATTTTATTTAATTGACAAATAATTTTCCTCCAGCTTAGAATGCCCTATCATGTTTATAAAGGATAACTTTATGTGAAAAAAATTTGCGATCAATTTATATATATTAATATTGTTTTTATTAGGGGTGAGAGGAATGACGCTTTAGGTTGTGAATCTCTGCTTATGTCTCAATTTTAATTTTTTTAACGCAAAATAATGACATTTTTTAAAAAGTAACTTAAGAAATTAATATTAGAGATGTTAATTTAAATATTGATCACAATAATTAATCAATATCTCTACCCACAGCAAAAATATTGGATAATATTCAACGAGTGAGAGGAATGACGCGGTACTACATGACAAATTTCATTTTCTATATTTAAAAAAACTACACGACATATTTTATTTATATTTTTGAAAATTATTCTTAAATATCATAACTTTTAGAAAAAATTAATAAAGTACCAATTTTCATGTTTTAAATAATTGTTTTACCTATTGAAAAAATGAAAAGCACTTAGATGACAGGTTAGAAAATCGATTTTGAGGTGGTAAAATATTTTAAAAATGTATTAAACAATAAAATTTTACAACTTTTTCTTGCAGAACATTTAGAAAAAATGATAAAATAGGGAAATATGACTTGGTATTTTCCCAAATGATTATAATTATTTAGAAAATCTTGATTACATGCAAAATGAGGTTTTTTGGAGAATCACCCATATATTTTTTTTCAAAATGTTTTTTAGGATTCACTGTAGATATTTAAAGTTTTTTTAAAATAAAATTATAATTTAAATTTTGAGTGTAAAATATAATTACATATATGAATTGATTTTTTAATTCAAATTTTGTTCAAATTTAATTCAGGAGCAATAGGTAGTGCGCAAAAAAGGTCGGGACGTTCTGGAGCGGGCTCACAGATACCTTTGAAAAATAGGTTGGAAAATCTCAGTTTGAATACTGAGGCGAGTACGCCCGGAAAAACACCAAGCAAAGGAGACAACATGGTACAGCTACTTATGCAAGGTTTACAAAGTAAAGAGAGAGAAATTTTAAACAACGTCCTCTTTACAAAGAAAGAAAGTGTAATTAAGAACACAGTTGCAAAATTACCTGTTCAAGCAATTATACCTTTGCTCAAGGAATTAACTGTCATGTTACAAGGAAAAACATACTCGTAAGTATAAATTTAAATAATTTTATAATAAATAGGTTACTTTACCGAAGTTGGCTTTCTATATTGTTTTAATAAACGACTTTGAATTTTTGCAGGAGCAAAATTGCGGTTACGTGGTTGAAAGCTTTAATAGCAACTCACGCCGCTCAACTTTTATCGCATCCAGATATTGGAGAAGAATTAAATCCTATTTTAGGAATTGTAGATGCTAAATTAACACTTTTAACCGAATTGTCAAGGTTAAGGGGACGCGTTTCTCTCATAACAGGACAAATTTCGAGCATCAATGAAAAAGAAGAGAGGGACCCTACAGAAGAAAGTCTTCTCGTTTATCAAGATCGAGGTAAACCGATTTTCTGTCATACCTGTAATGCAAAGTCTGCTTTACATTATACTATCATACTCTATATTACATACTAAAAAAACAGTTTTAAACATTTTTGATTTTGATTTCAACACCTTGAAATCTTGGGAAACTGGGAAATGTCAGAATTTTTTTCATCTTTACTTTTAAATATACTTGAAAAATATTTATATAATATAAATTTAAATATTTAAATTAATTATTTTAATTATTTCCTTTTCTGAAGGTGCGTTACTTATTTTTTAAATGTTTTTAAAATTCAGAAATAAATGCTTCTTAAAGTTATTAATTTTATTTTAAAAGTGGTTTTTTAAATTCAGAATTTATCGAAAGTCCAATTACTTGAAAGATGCAATTCTTTAAAGTTGTGCCATAAAATTTGAAAAATAAAATTTTAAACCAAAAATTTACTACAAAATAAATTAAATATAAAGCAAGGTAAATAAAACGAAAACATTTCAAACAATGATTAAAATATATTTTTCTCCAACGTTTCGAAATCTAAATGATTTTCTCTTCAGGAAGTCTATCAAAAAATATACAAATATTATTATATAATATGGAGTCAGAAAAATTATAATGGAAGTTAAAAATTAATAAAGTAAAATAAAAGGCAAAAAAATTGAAAAAATCCAGAAATGAATTAAATACTTAAAGTTAGAATTAGCAAGAAACTAAGTAGATAATGAAATTAATATGACAGAATGTTCAATATTAATTTTATGGAAACTAAATAAATAGTATTTCTGAAGAGAAAATGATTTAGATTTCGAAACGTTGGAATAAATATATTTTAATCATTGTCCAAATGTTTTCGCTTTATTTACCTTGTTTCATAATAAATCTTGTACGTTAAATATTAACTAACTAATTAAATATAAAATATATTTTTAATAATGTTCATTTTATGTTTATTTACCAACCAAATAAATGCATTGCTATATACATTTAACCAAATATTTGTTTGGTTCAACTAAAAATTTGCTTTAAATTACCAAATTCTTTCTTGAAACGCAAAATTGATTAAATTGTACAATATTGTTAATAATAAAAATTAAGTACTTAAGAATTTAATAATAGTTCCATAATTATAATTCGTTCATACAGTTTTTTACATTTTATAAATTTTTATTATAAATTTACAGATTCATCAGATGAAAGCACGGACATGAACGAAGTTGAATTAGAGAGTGTTTCGGACGAAAATTGGGAAGAAATATCGGATCAAGAACAAGTCGAAAATTGTAAATCGGATGACGACGCTTCAATTTGTAGTTAAAAATATCAATTTAAAAAAATAAGATTTTTCAGTTACTTATAAATAATAAATACAAGTGAAGAAGAGCTTTATGGCGCATAATTTCACAACACTGGTTATTATTAACTTAAATACTGTGTCTTCCAGTAATTTTCTGGTAACTCAAACTGAAAATAATCTTAAAATAATTCTCAAATAACTGTATTTTTTCATTTCATGTGTGAAATATAAACAAGACTCGTGCCTACATTGATTTTTCTGTAAAAAATACCTCTCTGTACATTAAATGGTCTCAAAGTCGAATTTTACGATTGTAAAATTTTCTTGCTTGAATACAATACGTTTAAAGAAAAATATTCTATTTTATTAAAAAGGACCTTTTCAACTTAATTAAAATTTTAAATTTGAAAAAAGTTAACAATTTTCCCGAATCAATCTACACAAATAAATTAAATAACTTAAATAAATCTCGATAAGCTCATGGGCTTCAATGTATCGACAGCACAGCTGCCCTAATACAGAAACCTGCTTAATTTGAAAAATATTTTCGAAATTAATTAATAATTTCAAAATTATCAAAGAACTCAGAAAAAAACGGTAGCATGGTGGGATACGAGCCCACGACCTTTCTATTGCCAGTAGACTGCTCTGACCACTGAGCTACATGCACCCCGAGACTCTCCGAGTTCCCTGAAATATACTATTCAAATTAAGCAGGTTTCTGTATTAGGGCAGCTGTGCTGTCGATACATTGAAGCCCATGAGCTTATCGAGATTTATTTCAGATATTTAATTTATTTGTGTAGATTGATTCGGGAAAATTGTTAACTTCTTTCAAATTTAATATTTAATCACCGAATGATAAACTCACTTCCTTCAATTAATTAAAATTTGTTTGAATAAACTTATAAAATATTTTTGAATAAAAATGGCGTTCACATCTCAATCGTTCTTGATTTTTTAAGATACATAATGCTAAAAGTCAATTTTATCTTATTTTACGAAAATACTCTCATTTTAACGCTCCGTCACACACCTAGGGAGGGATTCCCTCTACGGTTTCAGTATTTTTTAAATAACTTTTGTTTTCCTCATTGCAAAATAAAATCAGTTTCTATACCTTTCGACAATTCACTCCTCAACACATTTCTAAAAAAACATTTAGTTTAAACATAATTAATATTTAATTATGAAGCTTCAAAGCCTGAAAAAACTCGAAAAAGTGAGGTTATGTTAAATAAAAAAATCAAGTTTTCAAAACATTTTTTGTTCCACTGTTGGTTAATGAAAAAATTATATTATAAATATAATTAAAATAAATTCTTTAATGATTTTTTTGCTTATTTGTTAATGTTACATTATTTTTACATGTCAACCCACACAGCACCGAAACTTTCCTGAAAATTTATTAAAGATTTACTTGCAAACTTCGAAAAATTTACTTGCAAAGTTTAGTGAAAATTGTGTAAAGATTTAAATGTCCCACTTAAATAAATGTTTATAGTCAAATTTTCCTAAAAATTTAACTTAAAACTTTCCTGAACATTTAAATTAAATTTTCGACTTCTCTCTTATAAGCGAAAATGTAACTTAAAACTTTCCTGAAAATTTAAATTAAATTTTCGCCTATATACAGTAGGCGAAAATTTTTTTTAAATTTTCAGGAAAGTTTCACGCTAAACATTTATTGAAGTGGGACATTTAAATCTTTACAAAATTTTCACTAAACTTTTCAAGTAAATACTTCGAAGTTTGCAAGTAAATCTTTAATAAATTTTTAGGAAAGTTTCGGTGCTGTGTGGGAAGTGGAATCGTGGTGAAGGATTCCCTCTAAACGTGTGTAAAGTCGTAATTTTTTCCCATATGTGTGTGACGGAGGGTTAAATTGAAAATATTTTTCAAGAAGTTTTGAAAAGAATGATAATAAATATCTTTAAAGTATTTTTAGTATATTAAAAATATTTCATTTAAATGTAATCCAATGTTTTAAACTGATTCAATATTTTTTGCTTTTTCATTTTATATAAAATTTTATTGTTATTTATTTATTTTATAAAAAATGTTATTTTACTTTATTTATTTATTTATTTAAAGAAAATTCAGAAAAAAATTGTAAAAACTAAAATACTTTTTTCAAAGATATATAACAAAAAATAAGTAAAAATTCTTTCATTCAAAAATTTATAATACATTGATGGTGTTTAATGTGTTAGTTATAATTGAAAAAAAAATTTAATTAATTTTTAAATCCATTTATTAAATTGAAAAATTATGAAAAATTTGTCAATTTTTTTTCTGATTTAAAAAAAGTGCGTATCAGGAACGTACGACACACCGCAAAAACAATCATGTTTTTTCTAAAGAGAGATGCTTACTCTGTTGCATATCTTTATTTTCTTTAATACTACATACTAATTAGATAGCGGTAATTAACAGTTAATTATCTTAACTGTAAGAAACCGCTCAGCAATAATAAAGCTAATCACAAATTATAATATGTGATCAGTTTTATGAAAAAAGATAAAAATATAATTTTAATACAATGCCAATTAGGAATATTATATTAACTCTAATAATTACAAATAAATCTTTTACCTATACAAATTTATAATAGTGTAATTAATTAAGAACTATGACTATTGTTTTCAAATTTTTTACGAATATCTTCGATATTTAAATAATTTGAGACATTAATTAATGAATACAACATAGTATATTAAGCAACAAGGGTATAAAGGCAGCCATTTGTTTACGGTGATTTTTGTGACACGAGTGGAGGTCGAGGGCGCCCCGAGACCTGCACTCGTGTCACAAAAATCATCGTAAACAAATTGGCTGCCTTTATTCCCATGTTACAGGCTTCACAGTACAAAATAAGTTCAAAAAAGGGGAATAGGGGAATTTTTTATTCAAAATAGGGGAAAAAAAGGGGGAAATCTAAACATATTTTTTAGTTCAATTTGGACTCTTATTTTATAAAACCGCTTTAAAAATTATTATAATTTAAAATTAATTTAGTTTATAACATTTATTAAACATTAATTTATAAAATTTATCACATTATATCATTCCTAAATTGTGCGACACTTTTATTTTGTTTTCTATTTTTCTATTTCTATTATTTGTTTTCTGTTTTCTACATTTTATTTATTGCTTTCATAGCAAATCTAAATATTTTAATCCCTAATATTAAAAATACCGAATAATTTTCCCGAATTGTTACGTACTGGGTAAGGCTTTCTGAAGTGTACCAATGGTTTTTGAAGCCTGTTCTTAATGAAATAATTTAATTTTCTTTACAGCATTTTATTCTAGGTAGAATTTAAAAGTATTACCAAAAAAAAATTTTAGCTCCCACATTTAATTTACAAATTACAACTATTTTTGTTACGCGCTGTAACAAAGACATGGCGCGTGCAGTTTCGTGGGCGGTCGCACTGTCGCGTTAAATGCGTTGAATTGGTTTCAATTTGTTAGTTATTAGGGGTCAATTTTGAAAATGTTAATTAAAATAAAATGCGGACCTTAAAATTTTTTTTGGTAATAGTTCCACATTTTACGTAGAATAAAATGCTGTAAAGAAAATTTAATTATCTCATTAAGAACATGCTTAAATTTTCATTTGTTTATAAAAATTTATTATTATTTAAACAAATTACATGATAATTTAAAACTAGAATTGGAGTTTTAAAAAGAAAGATTTTTTAAGGTAGTACGCTCGTGAACCCACTTTTCTATAGAATTTCATGAAATTTGAAATCTGAATAGTTAATAACGAGATCTATGTATTTGCAAAATATTAAAAAAATTGACCGTTTCTAAAACAAGATATTTAAGTTCAAAGTTTGTTATTTAACATGGTTAACCTATGAAAAGTGCATGTAAACGGCACATTTCTTCTAATAACTTCTAAAATTTTCTATAGATTGTTTTAAAAAACTAATATATTATAAATGAATGTTTGAGAAATTTATAACAAAAAGATTTAACAATATTAACCGTTTCAGTTAAAAGATATAATATAATATAATATTCTAACTTGACTAGTATACTTGTGTGTGAGTGTGTCTGTACATAGGGCTGACTATGTATTCAGTACAGTCCAAGCAAAAATATGCTACAGTAACTGCACCATACTATAGCATTTTATTAAAATTTACTTTTGAGAGTGACTGTCGCGAGCGTACTACCTTAAGTAAGTGGTTAAAATTTTATCAAATTCTGTCGATTAGTTTTCAAGTAATTCATCATTTTTTTCGAAAAATGTATTAAAAAATTAAATTGTTAATAACTTTTTAGAAAACAATTTTTTTTGAAACTATTTTCAGCTATTGTTTTTATCATTATTTACTTTTAAAATATAGTGTTTGAATGAAATTAAAATACCCTTTGATAATGATAATCATGAGTACTCTTCAAAAAGCCTTTCCCTACTGTTTTACCGAATGCACTTCTCCCGAATTCATATCCCCGAAAAAAAAAATTTTATCCATTTTTTCCGGAAAAAGTTGTTTTAAAATTTTTGAAAAAAATTGTTTTTCGAAATAAATTGAATTTTTGTTGTGCTTTAGCACTTTTTATACACAATTGAGGGTTCCATCAAAGAACCGATTATAAGTTTTTTAAGCTCGAAATCATTGCCCTGTAAATAAAAAATTAATCTGTTTTTAATCCCAATTTTTTGAGAAACATTTGAGTAATCTTTATACCAATATAAAATGTTTTCAAGAAATTAAAATTTTAAATCCTTTTTTTATTTAGAGGTCGAGAATTTTGAGTCACAAAAACTTATAACCGGTTCTTTGATAGGGACCCTCAATTTGTTATCTTTGAACATTAATTTTGTGCTGTTTTGATATACTTTTCATCAAAATGCATTCGGTGAAAAATATGTTTAGGTAAATTTTGGTGAATGATCGGATATCATTTTAAGAAATGTAATATTTTTTATAGCTTCACTTAATAAATATTTTAATCAAAATTTATAAATTAATAAATTATCGACATTGAAAATATCAATATATTCAAAATAGTAAAATTTCAACTAGACTTTATTTGTTTCAAAAAAACTTTATTTTGTTTAAATAAAAGTTTTATTTATGTTGAATAAAATTTTTCTTTAAAACAACTAAATAACCTAGATGGCTCTGAGACAAATCTACGTTTATTTAACTGAAATAAAATATATTTTATATAAAAAAAATTTTTCTCTTGCTATACAACACAAAATAGGGGAAAGAAGTAAAAAATAGGGGAAAAAGGGGAAATATTGATAAAAAAAGGGGAATTTTTTGAAATAGAGGAAAAAAAGGGGAATAGGGGAAACAATGTGAAGCCTGTAATTACGATATTTT